TTTTCATCGTCAGCAGTCACTGCTGAGAGTCGTGATGCGCGCAGAGAGAGCATGTGACTGGTGGGTCGGACATGATGTCTCGACACGGCACGTCGCTTCGGAGTTTCTCGAGGGCGTCGCGCAGCTTCTCTCTCTCCGGGTCACCACCGGCACCAAACAGATTGGCAAGGTATCTCTCCAACGCCTTCACGTCGACGTTGGCCGGCTCGAAAACCGTCTTCTCCCACTCGGCCCGCGCCGCGAGCTTGGCTGCGCTGCCGACATCCTCAAAATCGTCCCCCATCTCGACATCAGCATCCTCCTTCTTGGGCGCCGGCGTGCGGTCGCCAGACAGCCATTCGGTGACGAGCTGGCCGTAGAGATCCGCGTACTGAAACTTGAGCGACTGCGTACCGAGGTGACCGAGCAGGGAGGCCTCCCACGCATCGAGCATCTTGGCGGAGACGGAAGGGTCGTGGCGCGCCTGTTGGAGGAACCGATCCAGGTTCTTGAGCTCAATCTCGAGCGGGCCCTGCTTGCCCGCCCGCAGGACGACGGCGCCGTTCTTGTCGACAGCGACGCCGAGGCATCGCTTGACGCCGCTGCTGAGGGCCTTGATCCGCGCGACTTTGTCGGTCTCCTCGTCGAGGTAGGCGAGCACGGCGGCCTTGGAGGTCTCAAAGTTCTTGCGCCGCTTGGAAAGCTCCTCGAGCTTGGTTTTCGTGATTTCTTGGAGAGTCTCGGAGAAGACGCTGCCTGATGAGGCCATGGTAGCAGTGGAGGAAGCCCGCCGAGCTGCTGCCTCGTGTCGCTGTTATGAACCTCGTACGATGGAGGGCTTGCAAGTGTGATAGGCTCCTCAGAGTCTCGACCACAGCTGGACTCTGGTATCAGTGAGTGAGTGGGGAAGAAACTCTAGAAATCTCGAAAGAATGAAGAGGAAATCGAGGGCCAACGGTCAATTATATAGGCGAGCCTCGTATGGGGGGTCGTATTGCTGATCGTCTAGGCAGTACAAGGCGAAGGAGGATCTACTGATGGCAGCCAAGCACCAACGGGGACTGTGGGGGTGGAGGCACAGTTGTAGTGGGTGGGTGGGTGGGTGTATTCCGCAGGCAGCCGTGCCAGTCACACAGGTTTGCCTTGTCCTGTGGTTCGCGACCGCTGACTAAGACGAAAGGGAACCCCTGAGCCCCTTTTGCTTCTGGGATCTGCTTCTGGGATCTGCTTCTGGGATCTGCTTCAGGGATCCTGCTCCTGCACGACCATCGCCAGCTTTGGCACCGACAATGGCATCGACTGATGTGACTCATTGGCACTTGATTGGAGCCTCATGGTCCGCGGACGTCCATCGTAGGCATATTTCGGGATGTTGCATTCAAAGTGATGGCGGCATGGTAAGGAGAGGCGCTCTCGAGCTCTTTCTCCCCAGTCCAACACCATGGCAAGTCATCCATAGTCATCAAACTCAAGATGCAACAGATCTGTCATTCCATGGTATCAGCCACCCTGTACACGAACACACCAGCAACCTCATTCGGTCACATCTAGCCTTCTAAGCAGCGTAACACGATCCAGACAACAAATTCCCTAGGATACAAATACCTCTCCCTCCCGGAATTAAACGCAGCAATATCTCGCCATCTCTAAGCCAGACATAGCTTCATCTTGTTTTACAACAGCATCGAAGCCATCGTACTTTCGTCCTTCTGCAACCGTCTTGGACAAAGCAACCTTGGCCGATAGTAGAAATCAAGCCGCGACTCAAAGCTCGTCACTGATTGTCTCGGCATAACCCCTGATGCCGTGACCGCGATCATCGAGAGCGCCCATGTCATCGGCCCCATCCATTGCCATGTCGACGTCCTCGGTCTCGCGCTCCAGCTCATTGATGGAATCCATGGCCTTCTTCAGCTTCTCAACAGTAAGCTTGCACGTCTGGCGCTTGCGAGCCGTCGTCTCCTCCTCGTCCATGAGGCGATCAAATGCTCCGGACCGGCACCCATCAGCCCCAGCTGCGTCTCGAGGTACATATCGAGCTCCTTGACGATCGACGGAAACATGCGTGACGTCACGTAGAGCGTCGTCGTTTCGGCGAACCGCAAGGCAGCCAGCCGGTAGTAGCCCCGCACGTAGGCGGCAACCTTGAGCTCCTTCTCAAAGGGGTCGGGGCCCATCTTGATGAGCTCCACGTCATGGCGCCTCTGCTCGCTGGCGCGCTGATCGGGCGTCATGCGGTCCCAGTCGCTGTTGAAGTGAGACGCAGCCGTCTTATCGCTGCTCTCGCACTTTTCGCCGACAAAGCCT